AAAAAAAAAATTTTATTCTTTTTAATTAAAAAAAAGTAAAGAATTTATCTTAAATGAAAACCCATATCAGTATATGCACCCAAATCATAGCAGGTACATTAAATTACATGCATTTCAACAAAAATTCAATAATAATAACTCAAAAAATGAAATAAAATTCCAACAATATATCCTTTCAAACATTGGTCCTAACAAAGAAAGCCAATCTCTCTCATTTCTTCATTGGTGAGGTAGATGAAACATTTCAATCTTACATCATAACAGTTTACATCTACTTGTCTGGACCAGGATTGTGTGGGCCGTATGGAGGTGGAGATGGAGGCCCATAGTACTGTGGAAGCCCAACATGGGTGTTCTATGTTTTGGAGTCCAAAATAAAAATGGTAAACGACACTACAATGAGCAGTAATTTCCTAAAAACACCACCATCGAACTGATTAAATTCTGGTAAGAGGTTACAAAAAAAACCAATAGAAATGAGTGATATTTCCACCTTTCTTCCCATTTCCTTTCGCTCATCTGTTGTTACATCCATTACAATTCACGAGTCCTATGTATACACCACATAATACAAAGACAAACTAAAAAGAACAGTAAAAAAAAGGGGGAAAAAAAAAGTTACAGTACCAAAGGTTTAATGCACAAAGGGAGGAGGGGAAGCGAAGAATACTCGATTTCGTGAGTTCGTTATATCATCCGATCGACACTTTTGCGTATGCTGTAACGTTTCTTTTTCTTCGTCTTTTCCCCCCTTTTAAATACCAAAAACTCCAACAAAGCATTTCATCCCAGCACACCTATTAACCAAACTTTAAAAAAAAAAAAAAAAAAAAAAAAAAAAAAAAAAACTATGCCTTTCGCAATCCACCTTCCTGGGACCCGGCCGGTTTACTTGCCAATCGACGTTTGTACCTTTTGAGAACGGATGCCAAATTCTCTTTACCTTTGGGAAAAGCCACGTCACCAGCTGCAGTGCCCGTTCGGCCTTTTCGACACGATATGGCGATCTCAACGTCTTTGATCATGTCCAGCAGCATTGTTGTAGTCGTAAGTTTGCTTCGGTTCATTTTCGCTGGTGGGGGCAGGCTGCCGTTTGAGATGGGTGGGCTCGATTTTTGGGAATAACCATCTGGAAGCTGGAGGCAGAAGCATGTGGACATTGCGGGTCGAGGCTTCGAAAATGCAAGGTCGATAATACCCTGAAAAAATTAACTTTTCATATTGTGCCTCTCAATTATATACACGCAGAATTTAGATATCAAATTGTAGAGATCTCCAATAAATGATTCATAAGATAAGAAAAGCCCAAAAGATTAAAAAAAAAAAAAATGTTCTTCAAAAGTTTAAGGTATGATTTGACATACAAGAAGAAGACATTTTATAATCCCATACAAACAATGATTTTATGTATATAATTGACATCATGCTCATTAAATTTTTATAGAAAACACAAGCAGATAAAAAGAACCAACTAGCATTACTCACCTGAAGACGATTCAGTACATAGGTGTATTTTCCCCAAAGTTCTGGCCGGCTTTCCATGAGGGAAAGTTCGAGTATCCTGTGAATGCCCCAAACACCAAAGCTTACAACAAGATCCAACCGATAAACACATCCATCACCACAATTAGGGACCGACATAAACTTCGAATGATCTATCTCATCTATTTTAATAGCAGAACTAAGCTTGACATCCACAGTCCGAGTCTCGACTTCAAATAGGAATCTCTCTCGGGCAGCCACTCGGTCGATAAGGTCCTCGTCAACCCCGTCATTTTGTCGGAATAACCAATCAGATCCTTCCAGCTTCAGAAGCTTCATGACACAAATTCTCAATGACTGCAGAAGCTTAGCCTCCATATCCACAGCCGAAGCAGTTTCTTGGCTTTTCGGAGATTTATCGGCCACGCCAAATTGCTCATAAGGTTGCCTAGAATAAAATGAACCCGCGCCCGAGCCAGAACCAAACTGCAACGAAAAGGCATCTCTACACACTTTCGGAGTAGAGATTTGATTAAAACCTAAAGCAGAACTAGTCCAAGACGAAGCACTGGAACCCATTTGCTCGCGGGCCGAGCGATTAACTGACTGCCCATAACCAATCAAATTATTCTGCCACTGTGAGTTGTTATCAGATGAAGAATCTCGTTGCGGGACATAGAGCCCTGATATGTCTGGCAGGCTGTGGAATTTCTTCACATTGGACGGGTTATTATTATTACTGTAGTCCATTGGGTCGGGAGAAAATTCCTGAAAAGCTCTTTCAGATTTCATCGAACTATTACGAGCGACGGGAACATTGTGAAATCCGGGTGGCTTCATCGTACGCATTCCATTCTGTGGCTTCAGTCCTACTGGCTGAGTGTACAAGTCCACGGGATTCGATTTGATCGTAGGCGTTGAGGTTTGGCCAACGGACTCCACTCGATAATTTAGATAATCTGAACTTTTGTCTTTTGCCAGTTGACCCACACATGAAGACAAGTCGTAACCATGGAAAGAAGATGGCTGCTGATCATGGCCAACGGAAGATGACGGGACATACATGCTACGATAACGCCTCTCGCCGGAGTCAATAGAATCGGAACTGGAATTCCGCACATATGCATCCAACAGTTGCATTTGGTTAGAGTTTGACCACATTGATGACCCTGGCTGAACACCAAGAGTCGATCCAATACTACTACTATGTGCAATATGTTGCACTGGAGGACCATAAAAGCTAGGAGTTCTTAAAAAGTCAGTAGACCCTCTTCCAGATGCAGAAGGTAAATATGCAGCAGAATCCTTGTTCACACTTTCCAATTTAACAGGTGCAAAGGAAGGTTTCGAGTCCATCGTAGACTCAACCCCCAATAGAACATCCAATTTCTTGGCTTTCGCCTCAGACGTTGGCTGGCCATGAAAATCAAACAGCTGTCCCCAGAATTCGTCGAGGATTGCAGTTAACTGACGCCTGGCAGCACGGCCTAATCCCGCCAATCTCGAAAGACTACCAGTGCCACTCCCTAAGTCTTCATTTTTTCCTCTAATACTTCTGTATGATCCCGGACCCTCTGAAGTCAAAGACAGGGCAGTCTCTGGAACATCCTTAGTTGATTCTCTGGGCCCCCAAGACTCTCCTTCGTCTTTCTCACTCTGTGTGTCCCCCTCGATTTTCAATGTCTTCTCCACAATTTCGTTTGATTCGGTGCTTGAGGTGACATCTTCCGGCAATTCATTTTTAACGATCTCATCAGATTCGGGCAAGGCGAGTTCTAAAATGTTTTCCGGTTCCTCAGGTTTCCCTACGTCGGGATTAAATGAGATCTCTGTTCTATTCTCCTCAATTGTGGTCAGACGAATATTGGTCTCTGAGTCCAGAAGAGTTTCAGGCAAATTCAGATCACACGTTGGGGTAGAAAGATTTTGATGGGTTCCAAAGGATTTCTGCAATGATGACATGGATTCTTGGTTTTCAGTTGACTTTTCTAAGTGTTCACCAATTCGAGCTGGGTCTCTATTGATAGACAACTCTGTCACGGCCAATCTTCTGTCCCACCTCAACGCCTCCATATTATTTCCCCCAGAATTTGCAGACTTCAATGGAGTGATTGCCACCCAAAGCATTGAACCCATGGAGGCAAAAGAAGTAATTAGCAGAATAAGGTATGAGATGGGCACACTACTCCCGATGTTCCACTTTAAACTAATAACCCAATCGCTACCTCCAAATAACAATTCAGTGACAAACACGAGCATTATCCCAAGCACCCCGACAAAGGTGAATAAAGCTAAGAATTCCACCAGATGAGAGATCCTGTAGGCACCCATAATGGGTCTGGAGGAAGAAATTCGGAAAAGTGGGATGATGGAAGATGGAAGTAAAAGCCCAACCACGACCTGAGTAAAGATCAGGAGTTGAAATATACCTTCAGCCCCTGAATGGAGAATGCAAAACAGTGCTGGTACCATCGCAATTAATTTGATTGTAGCACGATGAAGCCAACCAGGAATCTCCAATCTGAAGAAATCATGGACAGTCACTTGTCTTCCAAGACTCCAGGTTACTGCTACCAGTTGATTGGAGAAAAACATAATGACTATTAAGGCAATTGAAGCTAAGGAGCTCCTAAATCCCTGCACACCCACCGAGAGTTACAATATCAGCAGTGAAATGCAGTTAAAAGATGGATAAATCAACAATTATCGTATCCAATCCAACACCAACCTGATCCATCAATGAAAGTGCATCTTGTAAAGTGAGTGAAACGAGTCCACTGCCATAGTACACATTGGCTGCCAAGTTCATTAGCATACAGTTGACCAGAAAAATGCCACTAAAGATGCATAATGTGGCAAAAAAATGGTCATGACACTGTGTCCCTTTAGATACATTTGTTGGGCGTTGATCTTGCTGCAAGAGAATCCAAAAACAAACAAATGCTAGCACTATTAGAGACAGAGTGGGGAGAAGCTACAACAACTACCAAAGAAGTTTAGAATACTACAGAAACGAAATCAATAACAAAAATATTGGGAGATGACGAATGAAACTAGAGCGTAAGAAAGTGCCAACAAGCTCAAAAGACTGAGAGCCATAGATATTCGAGACCTGTACAATAGAAGAATGTAGGTAAAAGTTGTGGGGCATAATATTTGCTCCAAGGACACTCATCAACACATATGCATTTTCCCCAGTTAGCTTAGTAAGCATCCCGCCAGCAGACAGTGAGCTTTCTGGCTGACTAATGAGAACTCCAGTACCATAAGATGCGAATATAAAGCATGCCAAAAATATTAATGTGATCTTTGCCTTCGGATTTTCCTGAGAACAGAAAACAAAGTCCATTACTACTAACATCTGCAGCGTCGTATTGTTAATTCACCACACCACTAAATCCATCCCCCAAAATTAAATAAAATAAAGCTTACAAGAAAGCTAGCAAGAAATGGAAATAGAGCAGCATCAAAGCCAGTCAAGAAAACACAAATAAGTAGGTCGATCCCGAAAACCGCATGAAGGCCATAAGCCGTGCCAATAACCTACCAGCACAATCACTTCAAATATTAGAAAAACATAGCATATGAGTGAAAATAACCAAGTCTCAAGGTTTCTGAGTGGAGTAAATTTACCATTGTGAGATCCAACAAAATCATTGAGATCTCGGCCTCAATTCCTAAAAATATGCACGTCAGATCATCATATTCCTCGCTGCAAATCTGACATTATTAAAAGGAATGAGTTCACAATCATAATATTATATACAATATAAAAGAGAACATAAAAAAAAAAAAGACATCTAATCTAGGAAGTCCAACAAAAAAATAAAAAATAAAAACTCTGGAGAAGTATTCCAAGAGTGCTCAAAACCTTTTTAATTGATATCCATTGGCACCCAAGTAATCACACTCCTAAATAAATAATAATCATGCTACTTAAGAAAATAATTTTATATATAATATGAAATGGTGAGAGAGCAAGATGTACTGCAAACTTCAAAGCAAGCTGATACATAAAATATTATAAATCGTATTCACGCACCTAGTATGATTACTACATGTTTCAATATGCTTATAACAACTTAATGATTCTTCACCATACTCCTCTTAAGAATTTGAACATATAATAGTATTCCTGTAAAAGGAAAATTGAAGGTATACTATCTACAAATGTTCTAACAATCACTATGCGGAGAGCTGAGACCCCACAAGTAAGAAGCCTAGACGGGATGGCAAAACTAATGATAAATACATTTGTATTTCTCATCATGCATAATTAATAAATATACTATACGAGTTATATTAATCAATATAAGCATATTAAAAAATGTCCAAAATCTAATAAATTCATACTATTTCAATACTTATAACATTACTAGTGTTTTTACTTTTTAATTTCACAATATAAGTATATTTCATTCACACAAACCAATAATCATTTTACTATCATTTACGAATAAATGAAAAAAAATCTAAGAAAATGGGTGTCTAGGTGGCCTGTGCCACCAATGCGTAGGCGTGACTAACTTCTTGGCTCCCTGGCCATCCTAGGCGCCACCTAATTGACGAAGCACTTAAAAAAAGACCACCTAGGCATAAATCGGGCACCCAGTAGCGGCCAAGCGAATGACTCTATTCAGAACAGTGATATATACAAACTCAAATTTTCTTGCTCTGATGAACGTCTTATTTTAAGCCCATTAGTGCAAACAAATAAATTTAGAAGATGAATAGCATCGCCATAAAATGATTAATGCACCTCATGTAACTTAATAGTGAAGGAAATAAGTACCTGAGCAAGATTTTTCCCAGTGGCAATTGCAATACGAGCACACAGATACTGACATAATATAGCAGCACAATTTATAACAAGCACGATCAAAGACAGATCAAAACCAAACCGAGCACCCCCCTCCACAGATGCAGCCCACTTTCCAGGGTCTACATAGCTGATAGCAATCCACAGTACGGGCCCAGCAGCAGCAAGCACCCGATCTCTCATGCTTGGCTGATAACTTATTGATGCCTCAGACTCCATTTGTTTTCTATATCAAAAGTAATGGGAAAATAGCATTATCCTCCAGGAGTAACACTTCAACGCAGCTGCACAGCCTTCCAAACATTACCAAACACATTACATTCTGCCTCAAAACGAATCCCGTCTTAAGGATGAGCCTGGTGTGCGATTAATCAGGAAAATTAATGTCTTCGTCCCCAGACAGAAAAACAAACCCACGACGTAGCATGTGTATTTATTCCTCCCAGTTCCAGATTGTTTAGTTATATTTCCTCAGAAAGCAGAATCATGACACAAGTATTATCTCAATGCGTTGATCTGCACTATCGGATCTTTCCCATATCTAACGCTTAAACCGACTTCTGAAACAGTCAAACCTTAAAATATAAAATAAATATTGTCTCAATCAAAAATCGCAGTCCAAGGAGATAGGTACACTTCTCGGAAAACTTTTCTTCATATGCAGCAGATTGTCAAACCCTGATACATTACAACAACTTCGGAGATAAATACAATAACCAGTATACCATCTCGACACTTCATTGTATCTTACAATAATTGATATAAACAGCACAAAAATCGCTACAGCACAATTACCACTTCAACATTAATATACACGTAGACTACAAATGTAATTAAAAAAAACAAATCCAGGTGTCAGCCAAAGGTTAAAGGAATCTCATATCTCATTATAGAACACAAAAACTAATTCTCTTCTTACGAATTTCCTACACTATTCAATAGTATTACAAAAGCTACCTATGAAATGGACTACTGGAAACATAGCCTGAAATCTACAAGAGAAATTGACAAAAATCTTATGTGAAGACAAGCTAAACTAATATACACTTGCATTTCTTCAAATCGGAAACAAAACAATCCAACCTAAAGCAACAGACTTTCGATCTCCATACCAAATTTCAAGACTTCGGAAAAACATCTCCAAATATAGAAACCAAAAACTTATATCGTTACTGACGATAACAGTAACAAACAGCCATGATATCAAAACACCACCACAGAGGCATAAACAACCAAAACCCTAATTTACAGCCAACCCCCCGCACCCAGCAACCAGACATCACGAAAACACTCTAAAACCACAATCAAGAACACACGCAACGCACCCTCTCCATGGATCTGAAGCTGGCTGCTAACGGCCATCGAGAACCCAAAAACGGTGCAAATCCGCCACTCACACAAACGGAAAAACATTAAATACGCGCATTACACAGAGAAAATGCACAGATTACTAGGGTTACCCCTTTTTCCCTTCCCTCTCTCTCTCTCTCTCTCTAATTTATTATCACTTTCGCTTTATTTATTACCTTTTCTCGAGTCCCTCCGAAACCGTGCGTCCTCCAAGCTTTTAGATCAGAGGCTTTTCGAGGAACGCCACGCGCTGGTTGATCGATTCAGTGAATGATTGAGGGGGAGCAGGCGATAGATACAGATATAGATACAGGGGAGAGAGAGAGAGAGACAGAGAGAGAGAGCAGTGCGTGAGCTGGGAAGTGTAGACAGAGAGAGAGGAAGGGAAGAAGAAAAGATGAGTATTATATTCAGATATTAATTGGATACATACATGTGCGAAGGTGAGGGGTTGGCTTCTTTGAAGATAAAAGATGGAAAAAATCTTTGGGGAGGAGACAAATGGGAGTGCCCAAGGACAAAAGGTGTTTTTTTTTTTATAGCTTCACAAAAAGGTAGGGTTAAAAAGGGAATATAGGGGATAGAAAATAAAAGTGTTTCTTTTTTGTGTGAAAAAAAAAATATACTATATTTGCACTGTTTTTTTTTT